GGAGGCGAGAATAGGCACAGTTGAGAACAGATTAGGCGAGAGAGGTCTCCAGGCCAGGACGGGACTCAAATGCCAGGCTGAGGAGTTGGCACTTTATCCTGATGGTGATGGGGAAGGGGTTTGATCTGGGAGGGACCTGGACAGTGTGTGTCAGAATGATCCTTCCAGCCACTCGTAGGGGAAGCGGAGGCATAGGCTGCCCCCGCTGCACGGTGGGACTTTGGGCGAGTCCCTTCCGTTCTGGGACTCCATCAACCTTTCTGCCAACTGGGGGTGAAGTTTGCCCCCATCCCATGAAGCCTGGTCCATTCATTCTCAGTCCTGCATTTAATGAGCTCTGATGGTGTGAATCCCGCCCTTCACTGCTGCTGTTATTCACTGGACGCCACAAACATTTATTGAGCACTTAGTGTGTGCCAGGCACTTTTTTAAGTGCTGGGGCTACAGCAGCAAACAATACAGACAAAAACTCCTTGTTCTAGCGAGGGAGACAGACATGGGACTACATTGAAACCAGGTGGCTGGGGGAGGTGTCACTGCAGTGACATTTGAACCAAAACCTAAGCGAGGTGAGGGAGGAAGCCATATGCGTATCGGGGAAGAGCGTTCCAGGCAGAGGGCACAGCCTGTGTAAGGCCCTGAGGCAGGACTGTGCCTGGCTCATTGGAAGAGCAGTGAGGAGACTAGAGCAAAGTGAGTGAGAGGGGAATGGGAGGAGGGGAGAGCAGGGGGGTGACAGGGCAGGTTGTGCAGGGACTTTTTGGCCACGGGCAGGACTTAGACTTTTCCCAGAGGGAAGTGGGAACCATGGAGGGCTGTGGGCAGAGGAAGGACATGAGGACAAGCTGTCTTTTCTACTCTGGGAGAATGTGGTCCCCGGGCAAGGAGAGGACAGCTCTGTCTGTGGCTCATGGCTTTGCCACTTGGGGGATACACTTTGACCCCTCCCTTCTGCTCCCTCACCCCTAGATCTTTGACCCCCCGGAGGAGTTGGAGCGGAAGGTGTGGGAGCTGGCGAGGCTGGTCTGGCAGTCCTCCAATGTGGTGTTCCACACGGGTGCCGGCATCAGCACCGCCTCGGGCATCCCCGACTTCAGGTCTGTGAGTGTGGAGGGGAAGTCGAGGCAGGGCCTGCCATGCTGCCAGGCGCTTCCCAGCAAGTAAAGATGCCCAAGCATTGGAACCCATCTGCTGCCTTCCTCCTGGCTGAGTCCTGGGTACTCGGGAGGAGGAAGACTCCTCTCTCTCAGAAATGTCCCTTGAAGTCCCATGCAAAAATCCACTCACCCATTGGCCAGAACATGGTCACCTGATCAGATGCCCAAGCATTGGAACCCATCTGCTGCCTTCCTCCTGGCTGAGTCCTGGGTACTCGGGAAGAGGAAGACTCCTCTCTCTCAGAAATGTCCCTTGAAGTCCCATGCAAAAATCCACTCACCCATTGTCCAGAACATGGTCACCTGATCGTACCTAGCTTCAAGGGATGCTGGAAAATGTACTCTTTCTTCTATACTGATGCATGGCTGCATATTGGGGTTCTGTTACCACAGGAAGAATCGATATTAGGGACCATTAGCTCCACACTCACTTGCAAGTATTTTTCTGTAGGACTTGGTGTCTGGTAAATGGTTTAACTTTCGGGACCTCAGTTCCCTCTTCTGTAAACTAGGATGTGAGACCAGATAACATCTAAACTCCCCTTTACTCCCGGCAACCTGTGTTAGACAAGAGTTTTGTTGCTGAAAAGCAGGGGTCTCAAACTGGTGGCCCCTGGGTGGCCCCCATAGGTAGCTGAGTTTGCAACCCCTCCCCAAAGAACAGCCTGTTGCATTTATAATCTCTTTCTGAGGCCTCTTAGACCCCCAGCCCAGATTCTCGCAGTAGGAGGGCAGATTCTTGGAGGAATGTTAGATAGGATTCTAATGCAAGGCTCCCCCACAAACATCCCCTTCCATAACCTGCTGTGGCTCCCTATTGCTGCACAGTAGAGTTCCAAACACCTCGGGCTGGAAGTCAAAGCCTTTCCTGATGCAGCCCTGGGTCATCTCTCTACTTTCCACCCCTGCTGCTCCTGCCACAGCCCCTAAACCACTTGCATTTCCCCAAACTCATGGGCTATTGACAGCACCCGGGCCTTGTTTACCCCTTCTGTCTGCACTGTCCTTCTCGTCCCCCTCGCCCTTCAAGAGACTGTCCAGCCTCCTCCAGGAAGCCTTCTCACACTCCACCCAGGTCCCTCCCTCTGCCCCAGCCCTGACCCCACAGGGCCAGAGGGTCCGTGTCCATCTGTGTCCCCCACAAGGTTGAGGCGTAGGGCAGAGCTTGGGTCCATTAGGCCCCAGCATCACCCAGCCCAGGGCCAGGCTCAGGGCAGCAGCAGGAAGTGCTGGTTGAACAGAGTAATTAATTTTTGCCCTTGTGCATATTCTCTCCCTCTCTCTGCCTCTCCCTCTGTCCTTCTGTTTGTCCCTCTGTCTCTGTCTTGTTTTCTCTACCTTTTTCTCCATCTCTGTCTGTCTTTTTCTGTCCCTCTTCCCCCAAATTCGTTCTCTCTCTATTTCTCTCTTTCTCTGTTTCTGATTCTCTTTTTCTCTCTATCTCTGTCTGTCTCTGTCTCTCCAATTTTCTCTCTGCATCTGTGTCTCTCTGATTCTTTTTCTCTCTGTCTCTCCATCTCTGATTCTTGCTCTGTCTCTTTTTCTGTCCCCCTCTCTCCCTGGTTACCCCAAACTCTCTCTCCCTGCACCTCTCCCCACCTGCCGGTTTCAGGGGCCCCCATGGGGTCTGGACGATGGAGGAGCGGGGCCTGACCCCCAAGTTCGACACCACCTTTGAGAGCGCATGGCCCACACAGACGCACATGGCGCTGGTGCAGCTGGAGCGCGTGGGCCTCCTGCGCTTCCTGGTCAGCCAGAACGTGGATGGGCTGCACGTGCGCTCCGGCTTCCCCAGGTAATGCCAAGCCCGCCCCATCCCCTCCAGACCTGCCGTTGTCTCTTGTTCCCGCCTCATGGGCACAGCTCAAGCTTTGGGGTCCCCTTTTCTTGGTTCTAAGAGATTCCAGTCCTGAGCTCTCTGGATCTTTCTCGGCTCAGTGTGTGTCCCCACCGGGACCCTCAAGTCAGCATCGCAGCTGGGGCCAGAGGCAGAGGAACTCGCGGGTAGGGGGAGAGTTGTCAGCGTTTAGAATTTGTGGTTTGTTAGGTTTTTAATATTTATCTTTATTGATTTTATGCTGAATGTGAACATCGTGTTCTGGGCCAGGCTGATTTCTTAATACTAAGTGTGTCCCCTGTCCCCTGCCTCACTTTGCCAGCCTGCACTCCTGCGGTGACCGATGAGAGCCAGGTCGGTTGTTTATACAATTAGCAGACACTCCATAAATGAGAGAATGAGGAAAAAGGAATTTTCTCTGCCTCCCTGGCATGGTATAGTTAAGGGAGGGCCCTGGTGCCAGCTGAACCCATTCAACTCTCTCGGGGAGATCACAGTAATTAACTAGACGGATGGCTACAGACATAAGGCTTTCTGGCTTGTGTAGACGTTTCTAGAAGTGAAAGCAAACAGTCTCTCACTTTATAGCACATACGTTTCCATGGCGCCAGAGATTAGAGCTTTTACAGGAATGGGGAGAAAACCAGGGAGATTTTACTTGCCACATGATTGTGTCACAGTCCTGTGTGTGTATATCAGGGAATAGGCACCATGTCCCCTCCACTGACGGTGTGCAGACAGGAGCAAAATGGGCTACACTCAACGACTCTTTATTTATTTACTACTGACTGCATGCCACACATGGTCCTAGATGTGGGACACAGAGTGAACTAGACAGACAGGAATTCCTGCCCTCCTAGGGTTGATACTCTAGGAGGGAGGAAACAAACAGAAAACAAAAGAAATAAATGAATTCAATTCTGTGTCAGACATGGAGAAAAATATAGCAGAGGAGGGTTGGGGAGTGTATGTGGCTTTTAACAGGGACATCAGAGAGGGCTTGTCTGACAGTTGAACAGAGACATGGGAGAGGTGACAGAGGGAGCCAACAAAAGAAATAAATGAATTCAATTCTGTGTCAGACATGGAGAAAAATATAGCAGAGGAGGCTTGGGGAGTGTATGTGGCTTTTAACAGGGACATCAGAGAGGGCTTGTCTGACAGTTGAACAGAGACATGGGAGAGGTGACAGAGGGAGCTGTGGGGAAGAGCCTTCCAGGCCTGATATTTGATCCCTCAAAATATCTCAAGAGTTGGACGCTGTTGTCCCAGTTCACAGATGGGGACTGAGGCACAGAGAGGTTAAGTGGCCTGCTGTAGGTCACACAGCTGAGAAGCACCGGAGTCAGGATTGGATCTCACATTTCTCTACCTCCAAAGCCGTGCCCCAGGGCCACTTATCACCTCAGATTCTTCCCTTGCAACTGGGAGTTAGAATTCCTGTACTTCCAACCTGGTGACATTGGGAGGGTCCCACGTGCTTACAGAGGGGCAGGCATTTTGTGAACGGAATGGGCTGCCCATTTATGGAGGTAGCGTCAGCCGCGGGGGTTAATGACTCCTCAGGCTCAGAGAGGTTGAGCCACCTGCCCAGGGATGCACAGCATGCGGATGGTGGATCCAGCAGCTGGAAGAGCTGGAAAGAGGGAGTTGGCCAGTCTTGTGTATGAGGGTTAGGGAAGACTTCCTGGAGCAGGAGGGCCAAAGCTTTGGGATCTAGGGAGCCCTCACCACCCCCACCAAGCCTCTTCCTTCTTCTCCCACAGGGACAAGCTGGCAGAGCTTCACGGGAACATGTTTGTAGAAGAATGTGTCAAGTGTAAGACGTGAGTACTGCATGGGGGTAGGGGCTCGTCCACGCTGTCCCCAGGCTGGTGCCAGATGCCGACCACCCAGCCGCCAGCCCCATTTTCTATCACCTCTCTGCAAAAGGGCCTTGTGAGCCAACTCTGATGTTCCCAGAGACCCAGAGGGTGTGTGGCCCTCCTGGCAGTGGGACTGGGCGCATGCCTTCCTCCCAGGGAGGTGTGTTAGTTTCCTGGGGCTACCCTAACAAATGACCACCAACTGAGGGGTTTAAAACAATAGAAATTTATTTTCTCACAGTCTGCAGGCCAGAAGTCCAAAATCAAGGTGTGTCAGGGCCGTGCTCCCACTGAACCCTGTAGGGGAGGCTCCTTCCTGCCTCTTCCTGGCTTCTGGTGGTGGCCGGCAGTCCCAGCAATCCTTGGCTTTTAGATATATCGCTCAATATCTGTCTCCAATGTGGTCTTCTCTCTGTCTCTGTGCCTTTTTCTTATAATATACCAGTCATTGGATAAAGGCCCACCCTAACCCAGTAGGACCTCATCTTAACTAAGGTTGCATTCTGAATTACCGGGGGTTGAGACTTCAATGTATCATTTTGAAGGACACCATTCAACCCACAACACATTGTGACCCCCCCCTGTGGGAAAGCTGACCCTTCCCTGGAGGTGGTGGTCTCTGGGTGTGTCTCCCCTCTTCTGTGCACAGCCCCACAGCTGTGGACATCTGCCTGGGTGGGGATGTGGCTGCTCCCCTGCAGGTGGATTCCCCCAAGACCAGACCACTGGTGGGGCCCCCGATTTTTTTAAAAAATCATCCCCAAATTTATTTTAAAAGTTCTCAAACCAATGTAGGAAAAGCTCACAAAAATCATATGATGAACTCTACTCCCCTAGACCAGGAGTTAGCAAACTTTTTCTGTAAAAGGTCAGGGAGTCAACATCTTCAGCTTTGAAGGCCAGATGGTCTCTGTCATCTGCTGGTCTCTGCCATTGTAGCACGGATGCCACCATGGACAACACATAAATAGATGTGGCTATGCATCAATAAAACTTTATACAAAAACAGAAGGCAGAGGGCCAGATTTGACCCACAGCAACACAGCTTGCTGACCTCTGACCTAGATTCACTGATTGTTAACATGTTCCCACAACTGGCTTTTCTTCTCTGTGTGTGTTATTGGTATTTGCTGTACCATTTAAGAGTCAGTTGCCGGGCTGGCTGGTTAGCCCAGTTGGTAGAGGGCAGTGTTGGTAACACCAAGGTCAATGGTTCAGATCCCCATACCCGCCAGCTGCCAAAGAAATAAGTAAGTTGCAGACTTCATTATGCTTTGCCCCTAAACCCTTGAGATGCTTATCACCCACGGGCTACAACATTCTCTTCCATAACTACTATTATTAAAGTCAGGAAAAGTAATATCAGTGTAGCGCTATCCAGCCCCTAGTCCATATTCAGGTTCAGCCCGTTCCCCCAGTGCTCCCGTTGTGGCTATTTTTTCCTGGTCTGGGGTTCAGTCCAGGGTCGGTTCTCTTAGCTCCTTTATCCAGGGCAGTTTCCTTCCTTTGTTTTCTGTGCTGTTGGGTTTGTGCAGCACCCAGGCCGATGGCTTCACAGAAGCCCCTCGTTTGGGGTTTGTGGCATGTTTCATCATGGTTAGATTTGGATCAAGTGACCCCCCACTTCCCTGGAACAACATCTTCCCAGAGAAAGCACAGGAGCCACCCAGATGGGGCAGCAGCGTGGGCTGACCGGGCCCCGGCCCTCCCTGTTGCTCCCCCAATGCAGGCGGTACGTCCGGGACGCCGTGGTGGGCAGCATGGGCCTCAAGCCCACGGGCCGCCTCTGCACTGTGGCCAAGGCAAGGGGGCTGCGGGCCTGCAGGTGAGTGATTCCTCGCTCGCCCTAACCCCTGCAGGGCGGAGGCCCTCCTGCTCACCCCACGCCCTCCCACCACAGGGGGGAGCTGAGAGACACCATCCTCGACTGGGAAGATGCTCTGCCCGACCGGGACCTGGCTCTTGCTGACCAGGCCAGCAGGTCTGACCACCCGATGAGCCCAGGGTGGGGGGCAGGTGGGGGTGACAGGCAGAGACCCAGCCAGCTGCAGCATGGGGCAGGGCCTCCGGCTTGGAGATGGAGTCCGGGAAGGCTTCCTGGAAGAGGTGGCCTGGGCCAGGGACTTCACACACTCCATCTTCCCCTCGTGGCGCTCTGTGGGTGCTGCACAAGGCCCATTTTGCAGGTGAGGACAGTGAGGTTTTATCCAGGTGACTCCTTCATCCAGTGTTACCCAGCCAGGAGGTGACCAAGCCAGGATTCCAACCCAGGAGTCCCAGCTCTTTACCACACTATGACGCTCCGGTGACACGGACAGTAGATAAAGTCCCACCCAGATCAGCGACTCCGTTTCTGCCAATAGAGTATAGAGGTGTCTCAGGCAGAGGGGAAGGGACAGGGGCAGGACCCAGGGCAGCCCAGAAGCCTAGTGGGGAAGCGGAGGTGGCTGTAGTGCGAGTTGGACACCCAGGGCTGCCATGTTGGCAGGAGAAGGGTTAGGATGGGGGATCAAACCAAGCCCATGCTCCCTGGACCCAGGAGTGCTGACCTGTCCATCACCCTGGGCACCTCGCTACAAATCCGGCCCAGTGGGAACCTGCCACTCGCCACCAAGCGCCGGGGAGGCCGACTGGTCATCATCAACCTTCAGCCCACCAAACATGTATGTGCCTGAGTCCACCCTGCCTGACCCCCATGTTCCCTCTGCTGCCACCTGACCTGTCCCCACCCCCACAGGACCGCCATGCCGACCTGCGCATCCACGGCTATGTAGACGAGGTCATGACCCAGCTCATGAAACACCTGGGGTTGGAGATCCCCACCTGGGATGGCCCCCGTCTGCTGGAGAGGGCCCTGCCGCCCCTGCCCTGTGTTAGTTTCCTGGGGCTACCCTAACAAATGACCACCAACTGAGGGGTTTAAAACAATAGAAATTTATTTTCTCACAGTCTGCAGGCCAGAAGTCCAAAATCAAGGTGTGTCAGGGCCGTGCTCCCACTGAACCCTGTAGGGGAGGCTCCTTCCTGCCTCTTCCTGGCTTCTGGTGGTGGCCGGCAGTCCCAGCAATCCTTGGCTTCCGCCCCGCCGCTCTCCAAGGTGCTGAAGCGGCGTCTCGGCGGCCGCGGCTCCCGCCCGGGGATGGGGACCCCGCACCTCGCTCCCCCCGCCCAGGCAGAGTGTGGGGAGGCCTAGACTCCGCTTCAGCCCCCGCCGCACCCACTCCACTCCGCCTCCGAGCCCGAACAGTGCTCTGTCAAAATACTTTATTGAGAATCAGGCAGTCTTAGAAAAGGGGGCGGCTGCGGGCCGAGGCCGCCCCGAAGTCTGCAGCGCACCCCGCGCTCCGGGGCCAGGGTCCCCGCAGTCTGGGCCGCTTCCTTCTCCCAGTGTGCGAGGGAGGCAGGGAGGTCCGCCGCGGCGGAGTTGCAGCGGCTTCTGTTCGGTCTGTGTCTGTCCGTCTGTCCGTCTGGGTCCGTGTCAGGCTGTGTGTTTGTCTGTTTCCTTCTGCGCCCCGGTCAGTGTGTGCGCTTCTCAGGCATTGTCACCACATCTTTGTGCTGTGTCTGAGTGTCCATTTCCGCGTGGGCCTCAGGCAGTCCCTGGGTGTGTCGCTGTGAGTCTGTGTTTCTTCCTCCTGGCACCTCTGCAGGGGTCTCCGCCTCACCTCCAATCCCCGGGTTTGACGCCGTCCACTGCAGCACCCCCGAAGTGCCCCTGCATAGCAGAGGGGCCTGGGCGCATGACCTGGCGTTGCTCACAGCTCGTCCCCCGCCGCCTCCATCCCAGCACGTTTCGGGCTGAGCACTGGCTCGGGTGCCACCCAGTCCAGCAGGGTGGCTCGGCCCAGCTTCTCCGTCATGTTGCCCAGGATCAGGGTCGAGTTGTCCAGCTCCCCCGTCGAATTGCCCAGGTCCGGTGTGTCCCGAAAGCCCCAGTCCAACCCGGGGCTGCCTGGAGGCTTTTCGTGGGGTGTGCCAGCCTCGGGCCAGGGTCCCGGGGCCTCGGAGCCTGGCATGGCGTCGGGGGCCACGCGGGATGCAGCATCGTTGTGCAGAGTTCTGGAGAAGACTAAGCAGACATGGGGGAGGCACGCGGAACAGGGTGGGGACTGGAGTCCTGTCCATCCTCTAGCCCCCAGCCTTAGGGAACAGTGGCACAGGGGTCTCCTCCCCCTACCCAGGAGCACAGGATGGTGATTTGGGGAGCCGAGGGGATTGTGCCCATGGTGCAGTCACAGGAGGGGGTTTGAGGGCAGGGCCCACCTACCTCGCACGGGTGTGAAGTCCCCGGGGCTCTCGGCTTTGTTGGCGGCGAAAGGGCTGATGGAGGGCAGGATGATAAGGGCAAAGGACAGCAGCAGGACCTGGCAGAGATGCGGACAGGGTCACCCCCTCCCCCTCTCCCATGAGCACGCTCTTCCCATAGGCAGGGAAACTGAGGCCCACAAGACCGGATTGTGCTTGAGCTGGGGCACGAGGCTCTGCTACTACTCGGACTCCCCTCCCCCCAGGCCCCTCTGCCAAGGCCTAGGACCCTGTGTACCCTATGGGCCAGGGGGACTGGGGGCCAGGACTCACTGCTATGCAGGTGCCCGTCTGGGCCGACTTGCTGGTGGACTGGACAACGATGGCCTGGAGTTTCTTCAGCTGCTCTAAGAGCGACCTTAGAGGGACAAGCAGGCCTTGGTTGAGCTCTGCAAGGCCAGAGTTGGGCTTCCCGTCCATTCCCAAGGTCCTGCAGCCTCGCTGAAGTCTGAATTCTGTCCACCCTTCAAGGCCCTGCTCCTCCTGGAAGTCCCAGACTCTCCCTTTTTGCATCAACAAATCTCCATTGAACACTCCACCCACTTGTCTGTCACCACCACCTCCCCCACCCAGGCCTCCCTATCATTCACTGGACACCTGGAAGCCAGTCCCAGCCTCTTCTCTGGTACCCCCAGGCCTCTCCTGTCCCCCCTTGGGTTCATGCTGCACACAACAGCCAGAGGGCACTTTTCAAATATGAATCAGCCTCTCCCAACCTTCCCAGGACTCCCACCTCACTTGAGATAAAAGCCCAAGTCCTCCCTGTGGCCCACAAGGCCCTGCACGACCTGCCCTGTCCCCTCCCTCTCTCCCTCACCCTCTCTGCTCCAGCCACACAGGCCTCCTCACTGTTTCTCCAACATGCCAGGCAGAGTCCTGCCTCAGGACCTTTGCACATGCTGTGCCCTCTGTGCCAAAGACACTGTTCCCCCAGGTATTTTTGTAGATCGTTCTTTCTCATTCATCAGGTCTCACCTCAAATGTCACCTCCTCGGAGAAACCTTCTCTGACCTCTCTGTCAAAAGAGACCCCTCACCACTTTCTAGCACTTTATCCTGATTCATTTTTATTCCCAGTGTCTATGGCTATTTGAATGATCTTTTCTATATTTTGTCTCCCACTAGACCATGAGTTCTAAGTGGAGAAACTGTGTCTGTTTTCTTGTGTTTTGCTCCCTGTTGTAGTCTCGGTGCCCAGAACTACACCTGGTGCAGAGTAGATACTAAATAAATATTGACTGGATGGATGCTCTCCATAGATAGAAGCAGGAGCAGTTCTCCAAAGCATCATGCTCTTAGCCTCCTGAGGGAGCACCTTCTCCTTAGCGAACTCCTACACATCCTTTGAGGCCCCAAGTCCAAATCCCCTCATCTATGCAACCAGCCCCCTTTATAGGTGGAGCCCTTATTCCCTGCCCTCTCCTGCCACCACACAGGCTTTCTGCCCTTCTGCTCCTTCAAGGGACTCTGGGGCTGCCCCCCCATCCTCTGCCCCAGCTGGATCCAGACTCACAGATTTTGCTTCTCGAGATGCAAGACTTTTCTCTGCAACTCCTGATTCTGGGCAGTGCAGGCTGACATTCTGCAGGGACAATTACATGGTCATGTTCAGAATATGTCTGTCACCAATGGGCTCAACTGACATCTCCCTAGGATGCCCCACTTTACAGGCTGGGAACTCAAGGCCAGAGAGGGGAGGTCACTCATCCAAGGTCACCTGGCAAGTCTATGACGGGGCTGGGATTTGAACCCACCCATGTCTTCCTGGTTTCCAGATCCCATCTCTGCATTGGTGTGGGGGGCTTCATTCAAGGCTGGACCCCCAGGATTGGGAATGGAAATGCCAAACTCAGGCAGTGATGCTTACAGAAGACAGGACAGCCAGGGACCTGGGAGCCTGAGGATCCCTGAATTACAACCCTCTTCCTCCCTGTAACTTTGAGCCACTCCACTCTCTGATCTCAGTTCCCTCATTGTAAAATGGGGAGACAATTACCCAGCTCATAGGGTGGTTGGAAGGATGACATGAGTCACATGACCAAGGGATCACCAGATTGCACTTCAGAAACAGAATAATGATCGTTTCATTTATGGTTCTGGAAGCCAGGCTGGAGATCCCACCTTTCCCACCAACCTCAATCTGTAAATGTGGTCTTGACTCAGAGCACTCAGATGTAGACTGGAATATTCAAATCAGGGAATGAGGGTGGGCATGAGGCAGGTGTCTGTCCACATCTCCACTCCCAAGGCAGAGGCGAGTGGAATATAGGAAGTAAGGATGTGGGACCAGAGGATTTTATGGGGAACTTTTGGACAAATCCCCATCATAAGGCCTGAGACTCTTGGACCTGCTATAGATTCATTTTTCTTATGGAAAGCAGTGGGATTATGTGCTTTGTTCTCCAGAAAGATGTCTAAGGATCTAGGGCCCCTTTCCAGAAGGTAAGCCACACATATAGCAACCAGAGAAGAGAATAAATTTCCCTACCGAAAAGCCCTCCTCTAAATAACTCATTGTATAAGGAAGAATTTATAATATAAATTAGAAAAGACCTAAGGACCAAATGATAAGGATGATAATATGCATCAAAATACATGGGGTGCAGCTAAAGCAGTGCTAAGAGGAAAATGCATAGCCCTAAATGAGCATACACATTTAAAAGTTGGTGAAAGAACAAAAGAATAACCCTCACTCAAAAAAATAAAGAAAGGAGAGCTGACCAATTAACTCACTTGGTTAGAAAGCGGTGTTATAACACCAAGGTCAAGGGTTTGGATCCCCATACTGGCCAGCTGCCTCCCCCCCCCCTAAAAAAAGGAAAAACGAATAAAGGATATTATAAAGATAAGAATAGAAATGAGTAAACTAGAAAACAAAAATACAAGTGGGTGAAAGGAAAAGAGGGGAATTCATTCTTTGATAAAGATAGTAAAATAGACAAACCTCTAGCAAGATTCATCAAGAAAATAATAGAGAAGTTACAAATAAACAACAGGAAGAATTTAAAAAGGTACAACTGCAGATATTGTAGAGGTTAAAAAATAATAGGGGGGAATTATGAACAATTTTATGTCAATAGATTTGAAATGGACAACTTCCGAGGAAAAGATGACATCCCATACTGACTCCAGAAGAAATAGAGAGCACACATAGACCTGTAACATTCAATAAATTCATCCTTGGTTGAAAAAGTGTGTTTCATTTGTTTGTTTGTTTGTTTATGGGTTTTTTCTTTTTTTTTTAAGAATAGAGAGGCTGTCCCCTCAGTATCCTAAGTGAGTTAAGACAGAGGTGATTAGATGAGATTTGGGTTTTTAGCTTGAGAAAGTTCTGCCACGAATGAGCTCCCCTCCATCTTTCCTTCACCCAAGGAAGCCATGACAGCTGGGGACCAGTATTGCTCAGGCAAGAAAGTCAGTGCCCTATTCTCAGACGAGAGTCAGGACAGGATGGGTCGCACCTTATCCTTTCTTGCCACCACATCTTCCAGGGGGTAAAGCAATCCCAGAACCCTTGCCTCGTGCTGTCTCTATGCTTCCTTCCATCTCTGTAATCAGTACAACAGGATGGGTCGCACCTTATCCTTTCTTGCCACCACATCTTCCAGGGGGTAAAGCAATCCCCGAACCCTTGCCTCGTGCTGTCTCTATGCTTCCTTCCATCTCTGTAATCAGTACAAAAAACAGTCTCTCCCAGAGAGGGAAATCAATCCTAATTTTGTCAAGCCCTAAAACGTGTGACCTTAGCCACTTCGCACCCCCCTCTCTCGTCCTCAGTTTCCCCTGTGAGTGTAGAATCCACGGCCCAGCACTACCGAGTCTCCAGACCATCGATGTATTCCTTCTTCTTTTTTCTGCTTTCTTGGGCCGACTGCTTGTTCCGGATTTTCCGACGGATTTTTTTCAGCACCCGTTCCTCGTACTGCCGAGTGAAACGGGGAGAGGGCTCAGTCAATCTGGACAGTCCTCTCTGGTGTCCTGACCCGGGGACCTGGGGCAGACTCCTAATGACTTGAAGACCAGCTCTCCTCACCCCAAATTCTTTCAGAGTTTCTAGGAGGCTCCTGGGTTCTGATGGTTTTCCCAGCTCCTAATCCTATAAAATTAGCTTTTCTCGGTAGCTGGCCGGCACAGGGATCGAACCCTGCACATTGGTTCTAGCAGCACCACGTTCTAACAAATTGAGCTAAGCGGCCAGCCCCCGCAGCCTACCAAATTAACCGGCAGCCTTTCTGCATTGGTGCCATCCTGCCCCCTTGTGGCCATCTCTGGGAACAGCCCCTTTCTCTGCCCTGTTAAGACCCATTGATGTTTTCAGATGTAAATGGCAAACGCAGGTATTGATGTTGAATGAAACAGACGGGATGGGCACTGCGGCGAGCTAGAGAGCCCCAGCCTCTACTCAGCTGCTGGTGTTTGCATGTGGAGGTGTGAGAATATGGAAAGAGGAACCTCAGCTACTCACTTATGTGAAATCTCCTGGTCAGAAAAATGTTAGCAGCCAACTCAAACATTTATAAAGTGCAGTATAGTCCAACCAAAACACGTCTGCAGGATATGCCTGGCATGCATACACAGTTTGTAAGCTCTGGTTTAGGAGGGGCAATGATTATGCATGACAGTCACAAAGAAGGCCACCTGCACCCACACTGCCACTACCTGAAGTCCACCTTTCATTCTTGAGTGTCAAGAGTTGCTCTCTCTGAGTTGAATTTAGAACGGGGCTTCTGGCTAATTTTTCTAGCTCTGGTGACAGACATGTCCTAGTACTCTAGTGCAGGCAGACTAAAGGCGAGACTCATGGGAGTAGCTAAGGGAAAGCGGTAGAGAACCGGAGCAAAGGGCCCCCCAACTCACCTTGGTGAGGGGTAGCTGGGTGGGCAGGGTGATACCTTCTTTGGCCAGCAGCCTCTTCTCGTCTTCTGTCAGCACCAGCTCCTGACATTGGCCAGGTCCAGGTCGCAACAGGTGTGGGGCTGCTGAGTGAGGCTGATGCTGTGGGGAAAAAGCAGAGAAATTGCATCGGGGCCAAGGAAACCAACAGCCTCTCAGAAATGAAAGAGACATCAAATGCCAGACATTTTCAATCCATTTCACGGTAGGATCTCCACTGGCAACAGGGCTCCAAATAACACATGCGCAGTCTTTTGACTCGGCCATTCTGCTTCCAGGAATGATCCTACAGATGTCTGCACACGTGTGCGAAAGGACCCAGGCACCAGGTTTTTCACTTCTTCAACAAATAGTCATTCAGCAACCACTTCTCGGGTACCTACTATATGCCAGGCACTGTTCCAGGCTCTGAACCTTCATTGCAGAGATGTCTGCAATAGCAAATGATTGGAAGCGATAGAAATAGCCAACAAATAGGGAAGGGGTTAGATCAAGTGTGTCCCAGTCCATACGATCGAGTACTACACAGTTGTGAAAAAGGATGGGACCTTCCATATCACGACATGAAGCAAATGCCACGACAAACTGTCAAGTTAAAAAAAATGAGGTGGCAGAACGGTGTCCCGTGTGGCGCGCTACTTTCTACGCTGACCTAAAAACAAGGAGGAGGAAGAAGAATCTCTTTGGAAGGAGACAGAACTTACGTGGAAGCCGAGTGGCCAGTAACTGGGGCTGGGGGAGGGGAGTTGTCCCCACACACCCAGTTGTGCCTTTGGGACTTGGACCATGTGAACACATTTGCTTATTCTATTCCCCAAATTTTTAATTGAATTTAAGTTATAAAAAATAAACATTTAGAATGAAAGAAACTTGTTATCAGAGTGTCAAAGTCTTAAAAACGTCACACCCTGGACTCGGAGACTCGGAAATATCTGAAGGGGGGAAATATCTGTCCTGAAGGGTGAACTTGTCTCCCCCCGTCAGTCCCTGTCCACAGCACCTTTGCCGAGAGCCACGTGGCATCTGGTGAGACATCATGGCAAGCGCGTTTTCTCTCCTGCTAAGCTGGACTGTGGCTCCCCGTAGCTTGCCCACTGGTGGCTGTTCTGCCCTCTCCAAGGGACGCAGAGCTGTCCCTCCTGGCAGGACTGGACTTAACACTTCTGCCTGGAACGACTAACCGGGACCACTGTCTGCCTGTCCGTCTCTTCCTCTTCCCACCTCATCTTCTCTATTAATCACCCTTCATGGGCCACCCTGTCACTCTTCGGTTCAAACTCCACTATCTAGACTTGGAGGCCATTGATCAGCCCAACCAGGATGCAAGCCTCTGTGTCTGTCCGCATCTGAGAAACGGGAATAAAGTCCCCCACATCCCAAGGTTGCTGACATGTAGAACAATTATATGAAAAAAATGATGCATTTATAAAAGGCAGTTATTTCCAAAGCAGCCATGCTCCTTTCCCATCCTTCGAGGCCTGTTGAAGTGCCACCTCCTCCAGGAAGCTTTCCTGGATCTACATGATGCTCCGGGTCTCTCCCTCGTCTTTACACATCCCTGAGCAGTGAGCCTCCCCATCTTGACTATGAGACCCTAGAGGCTGAGCATACAGCTGGTACTCACTGTATGTCTCAGAAGTTGCCAGGGACACCCTGGCCTTCCCTTGAGATTGTCAGGATGACCTTTGGTGTCAGAGAAGTAGGAGTTCAAACCCTGGCTCTGCTGCTTGCACGCTGTGTGACTTTGGGTTTGTGGCTTAACCTCTCTGGGCTCCGACTTTCTCATCTGCAAGATGCGGACACCAATGGGGTTATCAGATGTGTCTATGGGTGTGTGAAGCCCTCGGCAGGGTCGATGGCCCTCCGTCATTGTGCAATAGACCCCATAGGCCGGCCCAGGGAACAAGCCTGCAGCAGCTGTGTGGCTTAGGGCAAACGACTGAACCTCTCTGTGCCCGTTTCCTCATATGAAAAATCAAGATAATAAAAGCCCCAATCTTTAGGGTTGCTGTGAATTTAAAGATAAGTTTAAAGCATTTAGAACAGTGCCTGCCATATAGCTGGTACTTGGTAAGATTTAGTTATTTATTTTTAGTTTTTACTACTACTGCAGTGGGGAGTGCCCCAGCCCGGGAGATAGTGAACCCAGGACTGGAATCCAATGACTTGCTCGTATGTGACCTTGGGCCAATCCCAGCCCCTTTCTGTAACTCCGTTTTCCAGTCTCTAAAATGGGGATATTAGGACTCCATGAACTGCAGTGGCCCCCCTAGCTCCGATGCCCCTGGGAATGGGGTGGGGGATTCTCACCAGGTCCCCAGTGCTGCCGGAGAGGAGCAGATCTTTCACCGTGAGATTGCAGCGCAGGGGCGAGTCAGCCAGCCTGGCCTGCTCCTCAGCGTAGAGGCCTCCTCCTGGGCTCCACATTTCTGACAGGGCAGATGGGGACAGAGACAGGGTTGGTGTCAGGCAGGGGCACCTGAGCTCTCGGCCTCCATCTGCCTCCTCCAGGCAGTCTGCCAGGATTGATTCTATGGTACTCAGAACTTCTGGCAGAACTTGGGATCCCCAAGGCCTGGGCTGAAGGGCACAGCCCTCACTGGTACCTCGGTCTCCCCACTCCTGCAAGATGGAAACCAAATTCATCAGGGCATGTCTCCGTCTGTCCCACAAGGTTAAAGAAGGCACAGGACATTGTCAGGACACCTATTGCCAGTCCAGGAGGGAGTGGCTGTTATCACACAGGATTACAGGCGAGATCTGCAGCCAGCCTGGCCTTATCTCCCCTGTGGGGCAGGGAAAAGGACTGATTCACCTCTGGCTCCCTCCCTCCTGGCACCTAGCACACAACAGGCTTGCTGCCCGAGTTCACAAACTTTGGGTCAGGTAGCCCTTATCTTAAACCTTGACAGGGCAGAGCTGTGTGACCTTGGGTAAGTGACTTCACCTCTCTGAGCCTCAGTTTCACCAACTCTCCAATACCCAATAAGAGCTTGTTGCAAGGCTCAAGGGACAAAGGATGCCTCAGTGGCAGCAGACCTCCAGCCAGAGCTCTGTCTGGTACACCAGGGGTGCCCAATCAAAGGGTGGTCATGTGTGTACAATGTCTGGAACAGGTGAGGGCACTGGGCAGAGACACAGCAGAACTCACCTAGATCTATGGCCACTGAGGACTCCAGCGCTTGGGTCACTGGCCCCGGGGTCCTGGTGGGGCATGGGGGCCCAGGACAGTAGGAGAGGCAGGGTCCCTTGCCAGGCTCGGCAAGATGGCAGCCAGCTGGGATGGCGGCTGGTCCGCTGCGTGGAGGGGTGTCCTGGGGGTCGGAGGGCAAGTCTTCAGAAATGCCACTGTCACTGGCTGCAGGAGACCAGAGCGGCGAGCTGGGCACTGAGTCTCCAGAGCCCAGGATGGAGCTGAGAAAGTCATCAGAGTCCTGACCTGGCAGGCCCTGCTGGGGTGGAGAGGAAGGCGTAGGAATTAGCAGGTCCTCACTCTGCTCTAGATTGCTGTGTGACTCTGGACAAACCACTGACCCTCTCTGGGCATAGATGTCTTTTCTCCAGTTGGAGCTAATGCTCCTTCCTCCTGGGGTTGTTGGAGCTCAAATGCAACATATGACATGGGAACACCCAGACAGAGAGGCACGAGCCCCAAATTTGAGTTTGGACCCAACTCCGAATTGCTGTGTGACCTTGGACAAGTTCCCGCCCCTCTCAGGGCCTCCGTTTTCCTGCCTGTAAGAAGGAGCCGAAGCTATCTCCTCCTTGGGGTTGCTGAGAGGTAAAAATGGAATAACGTGCTCTGCTAAAATCAAGCACCGTGAGCTGTAATTGCCGCATAGAGCTGAGGCAAGTCCTGGCCAGGTTCCGGCAAGTCAAAGACCTCCCTGCGGCCTCAGTCTGTCCGCTCAGAACTGTACAGCTGGGATGTCAGGAGTGGGCTTGTCACCTGGTCCTCGAGGTGGCCCCAATCCTCGCCCATCTCTACGTGTCTCAGGATGCCATCCTGCCGGTCAAACAGGAGATCCAGAAGCTCCAGACTGTCGATGGGGCCCATGGGGCCAGAAGAGGATGCCATCTGGGGCACAGAGGAACAGACCTGCGAGGGGTGTGGAGCCCCATCTCCTCCCCACCGCCCATCTGCACACCACCCCTAGCTCCTCCCAGTTCAGTGCAATCCCCGCTCAGCCCCCAGGCTGGGCCAACCGCTGCCCCTGCTTCCACATCCCAATCTGTACTGCAGGGCTGATACAGAAAGTCCCAGGGCATGAGAGCCAGGTTTCTTTAGAAAGTGCTAGAGAGAGATGCACCGTCGAGAGAGCCTCTCCTGCATTCTCAGCCTGCCCAAGATTTCCCCTCCTGGAAGGCAGGGAGACCTGGGAGAGAGACCAGAGCCTCACCAGAACAGAGGCATGATTTTGTTCTTTGCGTTTTTCTCCCTGGGCCTCAGTCTTCCCATCTGTGCAATGGGGGTGGGGGTTTCCTTCCTGCTCTGGCGGCTAGGGGTTTCTTGGCATAGTTCCCCCTGGGACTCACCTTTCCAGCTGCTAAATCCCCATTCATGGGCCCAGCCAGCTCTGCTCCAGACGCTTCCTGGGTCTCTGCTCCGAGCTGGAGGTCCACCCACCAGCAGGCTCCCCAGGCTCGCTCGCTCCTCTCCTTGGCTCTGTCGCTGCCACCCCCAAAAGATGCTGAAATAGCCCCAGGGAGCTCCCAGCCCACCCCCCGGCAGGCTGATTGGTGGACAGGGTGGATGGACGAGGTTAAGGACCAGTGACACCCGGGCAGGCTGGGGCAGGGGAGGGGAGACCGTTATCTCCGTGTTTTGTGATGTTCCAGCCCTCAGTGAGCAAAGACCAAAGTCTGGGTGCCTCGCTTTGCCATGACCTCTCCCCTACTTACGGGGACTGTTTCTCTTCAGAGTCCCCGGATGTCAGATTGCAGGAGAGTCTGGGGCCCCGAGACAGGTCCTGCCCACTCCCAGGACAGAATGAAACCAGGAGGACCAGCCCAGGCCTTTGCTAAAGCTGGTCCCTCTGCCAGGAACTCCATTCTCTCATCTGAGCTGGAAACCTCCTGCCCACCCTCCAAGACCGGTTCGGATGCCAAGTCCTTCACAGCCAAATCTGTGTAATCAATTCTTTCTAGAAGTTTCTGTCGTTCATTGAGCTGATCAATATTTATTGAGCCCAACTTATTTCTTTTCTTTTTTTTTTTTTTCCCTTTTTTTTTGTCTTTTTTCGTGTCCGGCAACGGACCACAACCCTCAGTGTCGCGCCCGTACCGGACCGGGACCGGCAACGGGATCGCAACCCTCGGTGCTGTGCCCGCCCCTCGCTCAGCCAGTGAGTGGGAACCGGTCTGTATGTGGGATCCGAACCCTAGGCGGGAGCGTTGCCGTGCTTCCAAGTGGCGCACTGTAGCAGTGCGCCACCAGGGCCAGCCCTATTTTTTTTTTTTTTGAGCCCAACTTATTTCTACCTCAGGGCCTTTGCACCTACTATTCCCTATGCCTGGAACTCTCTCCTGTCCCCTCGTTCCTCCCACCCCCGCCATGTCATTATGTTGACATATTCGTGAAATTTTTATATTTGTGAATCAGCCCACATAGCGGAGAGGCCGTCTCTGATGCCCCCACCCCCCAACAGAGAGGAACCCCTGCCCTTACTATTTATCACATCGTTGTTTTCATGGAACCCCAAACTATTTACAACTTCTTTATTTGTTTGCTTACTTGTCACTGTCTTCTCATTAACCTCCCCCCACTCCCCAGGCTGTGAGCATCTTAGGGGCCAGGATAGAGTCTCTCTTGTTCACTTCTGGGAAAGGGCCTGGCATACAGTCGGTGCTCAAGCAACTCTTACTTACTGAGCACCTCCTCTATGCCGACCACGGTTTTAGGCACTAGGGATAGAGTGAGGAATAAGCGAGCCCGTAAATGCACAAACGATCCAGGAATCCAAGACATGAGTAAGCGCTGCTGAGAAACTGCGTGTGACCCTGGGAAGAAACAACAGAGCTGGAAAAGCCCCCTTGTAGACGATGACATTTAAGCACAGTCCTGAATGATGACACAGAGCCAGCCATGGAGATGTTGAGGAGCAAGATGTTTCAGACCGAAGAGACAGCACGTGCAAAGGCCCTGGGGCAGGACTGAGCCTCGACAGTTGGAGGAACAGCCTGGAGGCCCGTGTGGCTGCAGCAGAGTGAGGAAGGGAGGGCAGGGAGGGGACGGGGCAGGTCGTGCAGGACCTCGTGGGCTGTGAGGAGGAGTTTGGTTTATACTAAATACAGCAGGAAGCTGCTGGAAGTTCAGTGAGTGATAATTAAATCAAGCCCTCTGTGTGCTGGGCACGATGCTGGGTGCCAGGCTGAGAGCGGTAACTCAAACACTCTCCTTGCTTTCAAGAAACTCACACGCTGGTTGACATTTTTCAATGGAACAGCTCTCGTTTACTCATGCAGCGAAGTTTAATGCAGGGCTACCATGTGCCATGCTTGATGTGGACCTTTTTTTGTTTGGCACTGGCCACTACAGGGATCCGTACCCTCAACTGTGGTGTTGTAACACCTGCTGTGGCTTTTATCTGACAATAAGTCACATGACAGCAGTTGCCCATCAGGGGACACTGGGTGATGTCTGGAGACATCCATTGTTGTCACAACTGTGGGGTTCTCTTGGCATGGAGTGGGTGGAGGCCAGGGACACTGCTCAGGACCTGCAGTGCCCAGGACACCCCCTCCACAGAGAGTGATCCAGGTCTGATGTCCACAGTGCTGAGGGGGAGAGATCCTGATTATGGCAACTGTCCCCCTCTGGATGCTGGTGAAATTATCTCCCCCTCGGCCTCCTGACTTTTCTCGTTTCCTTTAAACCACTCTGTGCTGGATGCTTAGGGAATTTGCTTGGTTTGCTTTAGTGATCCCAGTCTTAATATTTATCCAGCATTTGCTGTGGAGGCTCTTTTCCAAAGCAGTCACAACAGGCAAGTGAATTAAGTGAAGTTTGGCTCCTGGAGATCTCTCTGCCTCTCCTCAACCCATTTGTGACTCTCAGGAACCCTGGTGCCCTTAAAACACAACTCTTCCTCCTCCTCTTATCAAAATCTGCTAGAAGAAATTCATCATTGGGCCGGCCCAGTGGCTCACTCGGGAGAGTG